CCCAGAATTTCCAATACCTAAGTCCATTTATGTCTCTATTTTTTTTTTGTTGTAGCTTATTAAGTTCACAGAAGCGATTTTTCATATATATATATATATATATAAAAGGAATCGGCCGAATCGGTAGGATTAAACCTTTAAAAAAATTATTAAAATTCATTATAAATATTTTTTTTTAGGAATCCAATAAGAAATGAGGATACTACATTATTAACTTTCATTTTTTTTCATCAATATGTGAATACTAAGATGATCTTTCCCTGTATGAACTTATGTTAACCATTAAATTTCTATGCGGCCAAGCCCGCATATGTAGAAATGCGGGCTTCTTAATAAATATATTTTTGAGATGGATTTTAAGACTTAATTTTTAAGGACATATAATCTCTAACATTGAGATCATGAATATGAAAAAAATAAATAAAATTTAAAAACTAAAAATAATAATTTTAGTAAAAAAATATTTGGATTGTTGGTTTCTATTGTTTTTAGATGGAACACCTACTTGCATACATCTTTAAGATGGATGTGTTACGCTTTTTGGACTGCATATGTAGGAATGCAGTCCTGCCCACATGAAACAATTTTCCATATATATATATATATAAGAATACATCATAAATGACTTTTTATCTTTAGAAAATAAAAATATTAGAGAATGGTATGTAGAAACTTTTGAACCGAGACTAGTAGAATTGTTTCACAAAAGATTTAACAAATGGAGAAAAAAAGGAAATAGAGGAACATGTTTTTTCGATTGGCTAAAAGACACCTTAAGCCAACACAATATCCCTATTCCTGATTTTGAAATAAATACACTAGAAACTCAATATACAGTATTTAATACCATTGAAGGAGATACAATTAAAGCCATACATCCTCCTGAATAAAGTTTGAAAATACAAGGAATAACTACGAAAGCATCCGCTACTACGGGATTAAATAAAGAGCAAAATATAGGATCCTCAACATCAACCCAAATGGTTGTATACGAAACAGTAGCCACACCATATAAATTAAATAATGCAAATTTAGCCCGTATAGAATTACTTCCACATATAATTGAACAAAATAATTATACAAATCTCTACCTTCATACAATTAGACAACAAACTAATAGAATAGAAAACTTATTACATCCACCCATCTATAAGGAGAAAAAACAATTATTTTTTAAACCTCCTCTTGACTTGGATAAAGAAAAATTTCATATAGGTGATGATAATAAAACACTCATGGATCAATTAATTTCCAAATTATCCAAATTAAAAATAAAAGATCCCAAACAAACTATTATTCTACCAGACAATGATAAGGGAAAATAAAAAATTCCAGAACATGATAATATGACTCTTCAAGAGGAAAATATATTCCAATCAGATGAAAATATAGAACCATCAATTACCAACACAATAGAAAATATACAAAAAGCATTTTCTGAAACTCATATTACTCCTGATACGATAAATCGAATTATTTATAATAAAAATTGGCAGCCAATCAATGCCAGACCATATTATAAGAGACCAACCCTAGTTGACATCCAATTAGAAGAAGATCTTACGAGTCATACTTCTACATAAACTGGTCGAACCATTATAGACTGGAATATATATGGAATTTCAGATCATCGAATATTAGATACAATGAAACATATGACTATGTATGCTTCAGCATGTAAGATGGCTAGTAGCCATGACCAAGAAATAGCAAAAGCTATAGTCTCAAGATTTACAGGATGGTTAAGACGATGGTGGGATTCCTATCTCAATGCACAAACGAAACAACAAATATTAACTAATACTAGATAATGGACAACAAAAAATGAACATAACCAAGATATGGTATATTCTGAAAGTGATGCTGTCAATTCATTAATTTATACAATTGCCCTTCATTTCATAGGAAATACTTCAATACTTGCAGCTCGAACTGCTAATCTTTTATCTAATTTACGTTGTCCTACTCTATCTCATTACAAATGGTATAAAGACGTTTTTTTCTCTCGATTACTTATACGAGAAGATAGTCATCTTGACCATTGGAAAGAAAAGTTCGTAGCAGGGCTACCATATTTATTTGCTGAAAAGGTCAAAGAACGTCTGAAAAATAAAAACAGTGGTATAATCAATTATGCTCAATATACATTAGGAGAATTATCTTCTGAAATATGTGCTGAAGGCTTAGCCTTATGCACAGATATGAAACTTAAAAAGCAACTTGATAAACAAAATATAAGTGGTAAAAAGGAGTTAGGAGACTTCTACCAACAATTTGGCTATCATATTGATAGAGATAAACCACATAAAATACATAAAATATATAAAAAGAAAAAACATCGTAGTAATAAACTCGAAAAAATACATAAGTCTTTTCCAACCAAACAGAAAAAATATAGAAAATCAAAACTAACCAACTGTCTACAGAAGGAGAGAAGAAGAAGAAGAAGAGAAGAGGAAGAAACTGAGTGAGAAAATATGAGAGAGAGTATGAGAGCTTTGGAGAACTTCTGATGCTGCTTCAGTGATGTCCTTGATGAAGTCTGTCCCTCTTTTGAGAAGAGAGGAAGTATTTATAGGCGAAGAAGGAAGCTGGATGCCTTAACGACGAAAGAACCTTGTTTGGCTAGGAAGGATGCCTTCACGATGAAGGAACCTTGTGTGGCTAGGAAGGGATAAGGATAAAGTCGTATCACATCGTGGGGTCATGAAGAAGGACGCGTGGGTGGCTACGGTTGTGGCCGTGCATTGCTGATGGAGATGGAGCATCTTTCGTGTCTTAGTGACAGTTGTACGTGCCAGCAGCGAGCTATGAGGAGGAAACACGTAGGACGAAGGAATATTTACTGTGGCTTGATGTGACTCCAAATTAGTCATATCAGTGAATAGTAGGGAACATGAGAATCTTTACTGTGCCTTGTTGTGACGCTATATTTGTCTTTTATAAAAAGTAGGGAACAGGGGGAATCTTTACTGTGACGGAGTCTTGTCGTTGTTGAGATAATCTTTATGCTATCTTCTCGGACCGGGCTACGCATCGGGTCGGGCCGGGCTACGCATCGGGTCTCTGGCTAAAATCATCGAACAATGGATTGTCGGATTGAACTGTCTCTTCGGACGTGGTTGGTGCAGTGGTATCAGGAGCAAAAATGTTGAGAAGATTTTGCTCTAATTCTTCCAGGGTAGCATTAGGATGTGCTCGTCTCATTTTCTTCAGATAAGCAGATAATGTAGGTAGGCTGACTGTATTATGTGCTTGTGGGTTCAAGATATTGGTCTGATGAGGTATTTGTTTGAGAGGTAGGGAGGCAGGATCAGTACTAAAAATATCCCACCATTTGACTTCGAGGGTTTTGCCAAGTTTGGCAATATACTCATAATTATTCGTATTATTTTCAGAGATAGAGTAATCCCATTTTAGGATCCAGGGTATTTGGTAGATGGCCATAAAGTAGAGATGAAAATCATCTAGGTCAGTACAAGTATTATGTTGTGCAAATTTGGTTTGGAATGCTTGAAAAGCATCAGGTAAGATTTGGGTCTGTGATCCCCATAGTAAAAACCAATAGCGAAACCAATTTGGGAATCTTTCATAAATTGGGAGTTTAAATTGTAAATACCAGAAATGAGTATTATTTGGATTCTGATAGGAGAATACCTTGTGTCAGGCTTCTATGTACTCAGTATATTTATAATATTTATATTGAAAATCTGGATTCATCAATTTTTTCCCTTGAAGAGGATTACATCCCCAATCATCATAAGTAAGTAATTTTTTGATTTGAAATTTAGAATAAGCATATACTTTAATAGTTCCTTGATAAAAATGGACAATTGAAACCGAACCGGTTTCCATGAGAATAGATTCATACCATTCACGGGTTTTAACCCCGTATGATGGATTTAAATGGTTTACAAGGTAAAGGGGAGCTAATTTATTTGGGTCAATTTGTGCATGAATGTCAGAAATAGGTATATCTGCTAAGAAAGCTGTGTCTATATAGACTGATTTGGCAGAGGTAGAGGTTTGCTTATTTGGGTACGTTGCCGGGGAAAATGCCGGACTTGGAGTTTGTATTGGACTTTGAGGAGGAGTTTGAATCAAATATTCAGGAATGTTTGTAGATCTGAGAGGTGACATAGGTGTCAGATTCAAAGAGGAGTGGATGGGCATAAGAGGCCCAAACATATTGCTTGGTACTAAGTCCATAGGTTGTTTTCCTTGTTTAGTGTTTGAAGACTGAGGATTATTCATATTGCTATTTTTATTGGCAAGGAAGAGTTGCAAACCGTATGAAAGTGTCTCTTTTTTATGAAGTGGAGGTAAGTTACGGTCCCCCCTGCAAAAATTCACGGGTTAAAAAGTCAGGTAAAGAATTAGCAGAACCGTGAAGATGCTCAATGGAGAAATCAAAAGCAGATAAAATGACTTGCCAACGGGTAAATATTTGTTTAGAAACGAGATTTTGAACATCTTTTTGCGGTATGTTTTTAGCAGCTTTAGAGTCGGTACGAATAAGAAAATGTTGATTTAAAATATCAGTTTGAAATTTGCACACGCAGTGAATAATAGCAAGTAATTCTTTTTTCACAGTAGAATAATTTTTTTGTGTTGGATTCCAGGCTTTGGAAGTAAAACGTATTAATTGTTCTTTAGAATCAATAGATTGTTTTAATATACCACCAAGTCCTAATTCAGAAGCATCGCATTCAATTATTTTAAAAGCGGTAGGATCGGAGAAAGTTAAACATGAGAGTTCTTTGGCTTTGAGTTTAAGTCGCTGTACAACCAAAGTATGAATCTCAGTCCATGATGGAGGATTCTTCTTTAAACGATCATATAAGGGTTTAGCATCAAGAGCTAGATTTTGGTAAAAATCACTTATATAATTGAGGCATCCTAAGAATCGTTGTAATTCAGTTTTATTTAAAATTTTATCAGGAAATTTATCAGCAAAAAGAATGGATCGATTAACTGGGATAATCGTTCCTTGATTGATATTGTGTCTTAAAAATCTAATTTTTGTTTGGAAAAGAGTTAATTTTTTTGCAGAAACTACTAAC